GCAGTTCCAAAAGCAACATTTTGAGGGGGAAAAGCTTAGCTATCAGCAAGAGTCACAGCCAACGTGTTTCTCATACAGCAGGATGTTATCCGTAACTGTGATTCAGCCCGTGGAGCTTCAATTTATAATGCAGGTGGTTTGGAAACACCTAGCACTCAGCTTTGGGAAAAACAACTTTACTTCAAGTGTTTGTTAGATTAGTGCTCAGAACATTGGTGTGAACAGTTTCATTGTTAATTCTAAGAAATCCCACTTCATTTTAAAGGCTTCCTTCAAATCTCCCCTCCCTCCCACATACAACGATTTTCAGTTTTCCCCACAGCTCTCAGAGAAAAAAAAAAACTACAATGTACCACTTCTTTCACATTCCCCCCACTGAGACTCTGGTTTTATCTCAAACTTCCATGTCTTAAGTAGAGAAATAGCAAGGACCTGAACCTGTCAGTCCAAGAAGAAAAGGTCTGTGACCTGAGGGTCTGTGTTTTCTCCCCGTGTTGTAAAGCATCCATCCTACAACAAAGCCCAACTGTGAGACAGGTGGCCCATTTTTGTGATACCTCCATTTGCCACCAGTTTAAGGGTATAGTCAACAACTGCTATAGCTGGTCTGGGTTACAAAGACACTGTGCCTACCTGCTCACCACCTCACTCTGAAAGTATAAGCGGGACAGGAAAGGGGTACAGCTGGAATGACACCAGCAGATCTGACAGGGCTGTAACATCCTCCTTTGGGTCATTTCCACCAGTGGATGTTCACATTGAGCCAGAAGCTCTAACATGTTAAGGTTAAAGTCCTCCTTTGGGTCAGTTCCACCAGTGAATGTGAAGAAGAGCCAGAAGCTCTAACATGTTAAGGTTAAAAAAGCTGCATCTGGAAGAATTCATTTAGTACCACGTTCCTGGCAAGTTGTAAATCATAGGAGAAGCTTGTGGAAAGGCTGGAAAGAGAATCCAAATATCCTAGTCCCTCACCCTGGTGCTTTCATCTTGGTGTTCTGGCTGATAAACACAGCCATTAAGAATCAGCTTCTGTGTTCTTAGATGGCAGCGCTGGCCAACAACCCTACACTGAAAAAAGAATACCTTAATTAAATTAAACTGCAATAGTCCTCTAACTAACTCAAACAACAGTTTTGCCCTGTAATATGATTCCAGATACGTGGGAAACGTGAGTTGCAGCTCTAGGCATTGCATTCAGGTGATTTACACTGATTTCAGCCGAGTGCCTCTCAGTCTTCATAGAAATAGGCTCGGGCACGTTAGCAGGTTAGACACGAGGAGGGTACGTCTCCTCGGCCAACTGCAGGTTATCCTGCCAGGTGTTGAGTGGTCCCAGCGTGCCTCGCTGAAACCACAGCCTGAGCTCAGGGCACGCGAGGCGACTTCGGTGGCTCTCCCTTTTGTCACAAGATTTCAAATGAGAACCTTCCACCGCAAAAACAACTTTTTGCTCACTTCGCAGGACGCAGAAAGATCTCTCCCGTGTCAGCTGTGGCCTTTTTCAGACAGACCTTGCACCAGGATCTCATTACAAATTTTTCACGCGCTGCAGCCAGTCATAAAAACAAAGTATAAAAAGACATACGAAGGAAAACAAACTATAAAAACCTGTCAGTATTTTGCAGAACAGCACATTCATGCCACTCTTCATAGTACACTGAAATCATGGTTGCTTTCTGAGCTGACCATCTAGGCTCTCTTACATGTTCATTGAACAAGCAACTCCAATGCTTTCAGGCATTTCTTGTTATTCCTGGACCAGCAGAAGGGTGGCCTTGCCTCCCTCTAGAGTCAGCTCCCCTTACAGAGAGTTTAAGCTGATCTGTTTGCCTGTGAAGAAGAACAGCAGACGCAGAGACACGAGGATGTGACAGGGATGGTAACCTTCTGGGGAAAGGAGGGGAAACTGGCAGCAGCAGTCTGCTTCAGGGACACATCACGGGCAGGATAAATCTGCCAGAGTCCTCTTTTGCACCATTTGTAGATGAAAAAAAGAGGTCTCGGAAGAATTCAGTACTTGATTCTGATCTGGAAGTCTTCACTTAAACCCAGCTTTAAACAGCAGTTTTAACTTTCTGTGCTCAGATCCTTGGACAGAGTTTTAATTTGCCTTTTTCATATACAGCAGCTCTGTCACAAAGCCAAGCAGCACACAGGTTTACTGAAAGAGGAGACAGATCAAATTTAGTGCTGTTGGGCCCTCACAGAGGAACCCTCGTACCTGCACAAAATACCACTGACTCCAAGGGGTCTCCAATCAGATCTGCAAGTCTAGTTCCTCAGTGTGACAGAAAGATCTGTGATTTAATTTGTTCTCAAATCAGAATTGTAATGCTTTGGTAGTTTCAATGGGAGGAATAGATGAGCAGAATTAGCTTTTGTTACAGACAACGTGGATTCCTTTGGTACTAAAAAGTGAAAAAAGGTGTATTTACAGTAAAAGGGTAAAATCATCAATCTCTGTGCCTCGTATTTTAAAATGTCTAGTACGTAGATAACTATTAGGTCAAATGTGAAAGGCTAGGAACAAGGCAATCAGGAAACACATGAACAGTACCAATTATTTATGACCTTAAAAAATTGGATATCACTTACCTAAATTAGAGCTAGATGAGATTCTGCCATGTCTCATTTGCAGCATTTACATCATAGATTAATCATTGTTTAATCAAAATGTGGCAAGAACACTTCTTTTGGGATCTTACCTTTCATGTTTGACACCAAGAAACTTTGTTTAGAGCTGTTCTACGTAGTTTGTGAAACCACTTGCCAGTGGGTGGGCGAGGAGCGTATGGAGTTCAAGTCCAGACTTGGGAATGATCACTGCAAAAACCAAAACCAGCTCCCTGTTCTGCCAACTCACGCTTCTGCCACATTTCAGAGCTGTTAATCTCCTTCTCCCGACTTCCAAAAGTGCTACTCTTATTTCAAAAGCAAGTAAACTGACGCTTACTTCCCTACAGTTACCCTGTTCTCTATGTATTATACTGTGGCCTTTCCGTTTGGTGGAGTTCTAATTGTTTTCTTAGCCTGACTTCCAAAGGAAAGGAGGCGTATGTGACCCATATTGGAACAAGGGGTCCTTACTAATAATTGGCCATGTTTGTACAGCCCTATTTATCAGGGTGGCAGAAATATCAGATAGACCTTACAATGCCCCAAGATTTGCTAAATTAGGCATTGTGGGTGAAGAGAAGGTCATTATTTGTCTTACAAGGGAGACAAGCTGCAGTGTTGCTGTTTTTCTTGCAGCAAGGAGTATATATAGGAGAACACCTGACCATATTGGAACAAGGGGTCCTTACTAATAATTGGCCATGTTTGTACAGCCCTATTTATCAGGGTGGCAGAAATATCAGATAGACCTTACAATGCCCCAAGATTTGCTAAATTAGGCATTGTGGGTGAAGAGAAGGTCATTATTTGTCTTACAAGGGAGACAAGCTGCAGTGTTGCTGTTTTTCTTGCAGCAAGGAGTATATATAGGAGAGAGAGCTTGAAAACCTCCTGTTACACTGTAGGACGATACAAGCAGCCTGCAGCTGGCATCTTACACAACTCACAACTGTCATCAACAGTTAGCATAAGTAAGTTATGATTGAATCCGCTCTCTTCCCAAGAAAATAATAAGAAAAGCAGTTATCAATGTGTGACGAGACTCCCTCATTAGATGAGCAGGGGCTAAGGAAAACCAGGGAGTGAGTCCTTGGAAAGACACAGAAAGACATGTAACTCCTGAGCGAGGAAAAAGAGCCACTGAAGAGAGCAGAGCATTATCAGCCTGAGACAAAGACCAGGGGAGATGAGAAAAGGCAACCAGAAAAACAACCCTATGTACACTTTGAACTGCAAGCTGAATCCCCATGAACCTCTGACTTCACTCCCCAAAAACTTGTCTATTAGAGGATGGCCCAAGTTACTTGATGGCTTAGATGCTAACTACCCAGATTTATAACTTCAGCGGCAACCATCTAAATCCAAGATTGCAATCAACCACAAAACACAAATCCTTTAAAAATAATGCAGACTACATAATTTTCAGAGCTTTTCAAGCTACTTCTCATACCTGCAAAACTAAAACTAAGACAAATTGGATAGAATTCAAGGCTTGAGGGCCCTAGTCTCTACTCCATCCCACACCACAACAACCCACAACAGAAGATTTCAGTTGGGCAGGTTTACTGAGACTGCAGCAGCTCAGCACAGGTGCCTCTACAAACAGACTAACCCAGTGGAAAGCATAGTCTAAGTGGTACAAACCAACAGCGTGCTGGCTTTCAGATCCCACATCAAGGCTCAGAAGCAGCTTTCTTGTAATCAGAAGGCATTAAGAGAGATGCTAAATGTTGTCTTACGACTTTGCTTTCAAATGATCGCTTCTTAGAGCTTAATTGTATTTACTCAATGCAGCGGCTTTCAGTGAGGCATCACACAGGCTTCAAATCCTCTACACGACCCCTGCTCTGCACAGTGCAGGTGGACAATGCAATCCCTCCCTCCTCTTCCTCTCTGGCAGCCTCCCTTGTCCCAGGCCCTGTAGAGGACAGAGCATTTCCAGGGTTCATGGCTCACAGAAGTCCCAGTAACAACTCAAGAGCTTGAACACTATCATCTGAATTTCTCAGTCAATTCCACGTATGTAAGAATTCTGTGCTCATGCCACAATAACGTAAATTCATGTTGTGAGTGAAGGTCTGGTGACATGGCATTTAAAATGGAAATACAAAGCTGCTACTGATTTTTCAGGGTATCTAGCTTCACTCTAACAATTCTTCTGTACATGACCTTGAGTGAATGAAGCAGAAAATACCCTCATGGCAGCAATTATTTTTGTGTATTGCACCTTTTCTGTGTTTCTTAAATTGGACTAAAAATAAAGATTACAATGAGAAAAATCTACTAGACAATGTTTATCTGACAACCATTTCCATCTTTATTAGACTTATTTTGAACTCAGTACTGGGTGACAAAAAACCAAACCAACTTCCAAAAAACCCCAATAGCAAATAAGGTCTAGAATCAAAAGACTTGCTAATTCTCCTTTTAAATCTGCGAGAGAAACGGTTACAACATGGCCGGGGACACTGTAGTGCCCTTATTTATTTTAAGAATTTATGTACTTTCCTAGAAGAATAACAGAAACCTTCCTAGAAGAAATAAACAGGCACCATTAACATTAGAAAGAAACTATACATTCTGGTGAGCTACTGACCCTTATTTCTGTTAGATTTCATAAGAGATTACAGACTTTCAAACTTGCATCACTGCACTAGCTGCTGTATGTGTAAGGTGATTAAAAACTGATACCTATCTACTGCTCAAAAATTTCAAAAGATAGGCTTTTTCTCGCTTCCAGGTTGGAACAAAAACTGCTTAAAAAAATCCCACACCAACAGTGATAGTATAATACAAAATGTTAAAGTGAGGCTACAAACAGAATCAACTTCTTAAAGCTAAGCAACAGCTTTATCAATATTCCAAGACAGATTCATCCCAAAGCAGCTCGTCTTCTTTTTTGACATCTATCTGTGGCTTCTTTTTATCCTTTTTGTGCTTTTTGCTCTCTTTCTCAGTGGAGTTTTCTTTAAGTCTTTTGCCTTTATAAGGTCTTGATTTCTTTTCATTTTCCAAGTTTATCTCAAATTTAATTCTCTTCTGCTTCACATTTTCTTTTCCAAAATCTGCACCTTCACTATTTTTCTTTCTTTTCTGCTTTGTGGCTTCTTTCTCATTCTTCAGCTCTTCAATGATGTATTTTTCCACTTCAAAATGTTTTATCTGAAATTTCTGTTCTTTTCTGTAGGAGCTGGTAGAAGTTTCAACAAGCATAGGTTTGTAGCTGTCTCTCAATTCTACAGCTGATAGCCTGAAGCTTTTTTCTCTGACGGTGTCTATCTCTACCTCAGATGCTTGCTCTTCTTTACAGTAGCCCTTGTTATAGCCATAATTAGGTGTCTTTTCTAGTGCTTGCTCAGAAGCTGGTGGCCAGCTCGGCAATTTGTTTTCCCCAGTGGTGATGAGAAAAGTATGTGATGAGAAAAGGCTGGAATGCTGGCCTTGTTCACACTTAAAGTTTGAAGATATAACCTCACCGAAGTCACTTTCTCCTTCAATGTTTTTATCTTGAAACTCTTCCTCTTCTGCTTTTCCAAAATACCTTCTTGGCTTTAGACCTCTAGCTTTCCAAACTTTAACATAATCAGTTAATTCATCTTGAAAGGAGCCATGTCTTTTCTTTGATTTCTTCATGAGATTGGCAAGCACTGTTTCTCTGCATAAACTGGACAGAAAGTCTTAGTTATCAATACTGACCAATTTGCTTAGCATCTGTTGTGTTAAAATCCCCTCCAAAACTCTTACAAAAAGAACATATTCCAAGTGTGTTGTTCTGTATAACTACATAGACCCTGTTACACATAATCTGTAAAGCTGAAGTTACAGGGAACAGATTCTACTCTTTGTGAAAACTGAAAATCTAGAATAACTTCATGAAGACCAAATGAGTTTCTTATGACCTAGATGCTCTTTAGATGAATCAATGCATTTTATTGAAGAATGAAGAATAAGAAGCGTTTAAAATGACTGCATACATTTTTAAAACTACTTTTAAAAAGAAAATTTAAGATTCTGTTTTACTAATTCATCTCCAATTAGCAGCAGATAAGAAGCAACTAAATTATATACTGTCAAGTAATAAAGTTACTAATTTCTTTATGAGATTCATTCTGTTGAACAGTCGCAGTACAGCAATTTCAGGCAAACTGAAAATTTCTGGGAAACTGACTCCACAGTGGAAACAAAACTGAACAGAAACAACCAACGTGGATTGCTAAAAACCCCAAACAAGATAAATGTGCTCCCAAGACAAAACTACCTATTAGTTTATGCTCTACTATCCTGAAGATGGAAGATAAAGTGGTTAGATGAGAAAGTTATCCCCTATGGGAAGGGCAGCTCTGACAATCCATCCCTCAAATGCATCTTGTTCTACCTTAATTCACCAGCTTTATACATTCATTTTGTTAAACTATAGATAGGCATGTGGCAGTTCCCTATACTCCTGTTTTGGGGGACTCTAATTCTGTCAACATTTAAAGTCATATCAGTTCTACATCAGGCCCTGGTGGTTATATTGTTATTGTACCTTCACTTAAAACATGTCGTATCAAAATGCTTAACATGTAAGCAATTTTAGTATTTAGCTTACATGCACAGCAACCTCTAAAAACCACATCTTAAATCACCACAATATCAATTCTGCAATTAACACAGTCTATAAGCCCTCTTCTGGGTAAAAGGGAAAGTACAACAGCCATCACCTATCCCATAAATGATCTTACACCAAATTTAAGATACACCTTAATGAATCCCAAAAGCAACACAATTGATGGAGACTTGGCACTTTCCAGGATTGAGATCTTCTTTGCCCTGTCAGTAGGAATCTTTAAGTTCAGGCCACTTCCTTCTAGACTGAATACTGAAGATCCCGTACCAAAAGAGACGCTGCTATCCCCAGACAGCAAAATAAATGGGAAAACCATACAGGTTTCAGGACATTTCCTCTGTGGATTGTCACTGAAGATGCAACTGTAGGAATTCTAAGACTGAATTTCAGTCACAAAATATAATGTCTAAATGGACAGTACCCCTTCAAACCAGTAAACTAAACAACAACAAAAAAACCCAACCAAAACCCCCATGAACTAGTCAAAGTCACTTAGCAGCAGACGACAGGGCTAATGAAAAAGTGTGAAAGTACAAACTTTCACAACAGTAGCAAAAGACTTACTGACTTACTTACCTAATCCGGTGCTTATTTCCTTGCACGTGGGCCTGGTATGTTTCTATAGATGTAACTATGACGTTACATACGAAGCACGTGTAATAACCAACCCCAAGAGCTGAAAAGAAGGTTAGAGAGGTTAGAGAGACTACAAATGAAAGGCAAAACTCCAAGCACATCACAATCCCATCCCATGCAAGAGTCCTGCCATAATGTTCCTATAAATAATGTTCACAGAGAGATGCAAAGTCTCTGCTGCAATTTTACACTAGGATAATCTTTATGAAGGGAGCTGGTACAGTTGCAGCGAACCCATGGTTTAAACATTAACAAAGACTATTTCTGATGATTGAAGTGATACAAGATAGTTCCAGTAAACTGTTATCAAGTGCTGATGAGAATGAACTGTACTGAAAAAATAAATACTATTTTAAATACCTGACCTCAAAGTAAGCACCAACAGATACAATCCAGTCAGCCCAAATTTAATGAAAGTAAGATCAGTTTAAGCATTACCGCTCAAATGTTGATGTAGTGTTGGTTCAAGCCTGTGAAGATGCTGAGGGAATTGTCAATACAGTGTATTACAATACGGCACACAGAGTGGCAGGGAAATATAAGGTAAGGTGAGATGAGGAAAGCCCTTGTGTTTTTTAGGTTGTCATTTTCTCCTCTCCTATAAGCTATGTCATCCATAGACCCACGTATTCTGAAACCAGTGAGTAACCTTTTCCCCCATGCAAACCCAAGAGCTTCATCCGTTAGAAAAATGCAACATTAATTCCAGTGGGCTATTGCTTGGCATCAAAATGTATTATTTTGTTTAAATTATAGCATGACTTAATGAAAGATGTTTTAAGTAACAATGACTTTTGACTATCAGGTAGGATTTGGAATTTCTTACTAAAGAAAGGATTGACAGTTTTGTTGCACAGGACCAGATGATGCCCCCTCAAAATGAATCAAGTTGCACAGCAACAGGGCCTTGGCTTTGGACATAGTGCTTGAGCTGGAGACAGTCCTGATGGGAGGCTGGAGAACAATGACTGTTTAGGAAACAAATTTCCTTTTGTGGTAAGATTGAAATAATTACAACCACCCAGTTTAGTGATCAAAAGATTAAGGGAAGACAGGAGACCAGTTTTCAATTATTTAAAGAATGCAACAAAAGAGAAACAAATGATTCAGTTCTTTCCTCTGCTTCTTGTTCTGTGCACATTGAAGAAATATATTGTGGTCAGAGAGCTGAGTTCAATGTCAGTAGAAGGTTTTAAGATGGAGAAGGCAAAGATCAAGAAGTCCTGGGAGATGTTCCTTATGAAGGTTGTGGAGTTTCCAGCACAGAAAGTTGTAAAGAACAAGGGAGATGAACATTTTAATAATGACACAGATACAACTGGCCCTGGCCTTGGATTTGGGGGACTGGGCTATTTTCTATAATGCTTTGAATTTGATTGCAGAACTTGGTGAGGACTGATTTGAGTCTCCAAATGGGTAAGAAAAAATTTCCAACCTACAGTTGCCAGAGACAGAACTTCAGCATTTCATAGATCAAACAGAAAGGAAGAAATTAACTTGTTCTGTAACACAGGAAGAGACTATAATTTCAGGCAGTTCCTTGAACAAGTAAGAGCTGAGTACATGAGCTACACTGAGACTGTAACGTGTTCTGCTTACCATTTGTGCTGTGTTCTCCAGGGATGGCCTTGTCTCCCAGCTCCTCCAATATCTTTTTCCGTGCTTCATTTCTTTGGTGTTTCTTACCATTATAATGCTCATGGGCCATAAGTGGATTATTGAAGGGAGCACAGCAGAGCTTACAGTACTTGTTTGCATCATTTAACTTCAACCTTATGTTGGAGGTTGATGAAGACTCTTCAGCTTTTGAGGGCAGCAAGGGTTTCTCAGCCACTGGCTTCTGTAAAGCTGGAGACATGGAAGTAGAGGATAAATCTGCTGACAGCACAGCTAATGAAAGGCCAAGTCCATGGAGCAAAACAGGTGACTGCAGAACTACAGAGCTGCTAGGTACTGAACTACTTGCAAGAGACTATAAAATATCTTAGTCCTTCCAAGGATACAAAACAGCTGTGTGTGATGGCTGGTCACACTAAGGTCCACACGCAGTCTAAGAAGAGAGATTTCCTCTGCAGAGGATGATTCAGAGCACATTCACTATGCTCCATCTTCAAATACAGTTCTACAACTTGTACAGGACTAACACCGGCTGAGCGTTGCTTGTGGACTAATTGTTTTTTAATTTCTTATCATACTACTTTAGCAGAAGAACATCATCTTGGAACTGCAGTGAATTCTCAGAACAACAATAAACACCTTTCATTAACAAAAAATTAGAAATATTTGCCTTCAGTTTTGGTCAATGACAGGATCATTTGGTCAAGGATAGGGAATCCGAAAGCAAGGTTCCATGGCTTCAGAGTTGCACAGGGTAATATCTTTGTTTATTCACCTAAGGAGCCACCACATGACAGCTCCAAGTTTTGGTAGAACAGAAAGGCACAGAGACATAGCAAGTGTAGGAAGATACTTCTAAATAGTTTGCTTTGCATGTGTTTCCTGTCACTCTCTGAAACAAACATATAGTTCTCACCAGAAACAGGCTGCATCCTCTGTGCTGGCACATGGGCTTGGTCTCCCGATAACTGCTTCACCTTTTTAGTATGGATCTTTCCCAAGCGGTGAGACAAACCAACAACTGGGGAAGTAAAACTCACGTTGCAGAGACTGCAGTAGTTGTTTTTGTCCACTACTCCACTCCCATCCATCTGAAACCAAGCAAGGGCAGGCTCAACTACTAGCATTCACTGAAGTACACAAGGAAACATTTTATGAGGAATAGTCACCTGAAAATTCACACAATCTCTTTTCATCTGTTTGCAATGCTCCTGTCTCTCATCTTTCTCACCATGCATTTGGATGTAATGACGAACTTTCTGAGCATGTTTTTTGCCCTGGGAAGAGACTAGAATTATTCCTGTTTCAGTAATAAGGATCCAAGCAGTGATATATCCCGTGACCGGGACTTCATTCATCAAAAACTGCATTCAACACTTGCCAAATTGTTTTTCTGTGAAGTAGAGCCACAAGCAGACAAATGCCAACTCATGTAACAATACTATATTTCAATCAATAATATAGTACTTAGCATTACTCATAACATTTCGCCTCAAGCACCCCTCAGAGTCATCTACTCTTTGGGGAATCAAAAATCCTGGTATGTTCCCTTATAAACAGGGACGCTAAGATAGGTAAGGAGAGGAATGGAGCCATGCCACAGAGCAAGTCTGCTGTGCTTGGGGGACTTGACAGCCACCCCACGCCATGACACAAAAGAATGACAGGCAGCACAACTTAACTTACCTTCCTAAAAAAGTCTAGTCTCCCCATACAGTCAGCGGAGAGAAACAAGTTTCCCTGGAAGCTGAGTTTAAGTATCTCCAGTCTATGGAGATTTCTACACCGTTATACTGATGATACAATAGTATGGGTAACTAAAATTGGGTGTTAACGTATACTTCCCTCAGACAATTATTTTTTAATTCTCTCAACCCATGATCTTCAAACTCATGGACTTGTCATGTACTTACTCACGTGCCAGACTATACACATGAGTACCACACAATACAGTGGTAACCTACAAAGCAAGTAATTTGTCTTCTCTTACCTGATGCTTTTCAGATGTCTGTTAAGGATTCTGAGGAGCAGTGCAGGATATTATAACAATATTATCAAAGAGAAAGAAGACCTATCATACCTGGCTAGACAATACAAGGACAACTGAGAAGAGAGAATCAGTTGTTTCCATCAATTCATTTTGTAATGGTGAGGTCAGGTAACTTAACAATTGCATCTATTATCCTCAACTGGATCTTGATCCAAGAAATAGAAAATCAAAACCACAACAGGGTCTGAACTCTGTGAAGTTCTGACAGTACAACCAAGTTAAACCAAAGCAAGGAAACACAACGCCTTGCAAGGCCTAAGTGTTAATGTGAATAGCAAGACAGACTCCTGACAGCAACTGACATTTTAAACTTCAACTTTTGCAAGAAGAAAAAGAGAGAAATGTCTGTGCCTGGAAACCTGCACTCCTCAAGATCAAGTTTCAAAATAAAGCATACTTTCCCATGTCTACAGCAATACCCCAAGGCACACAAGTTGTTCCAAGAAATGCCTTCAGCACAATTCATACAGCCTGCCTCAAGCAGACACTGGTGCACAGAGCAGCACGTCTGTATCGCTGGTGAAGCATCAGAAGGCGTGACCTTGGTCCTCTGTAGCTAGCACTGCCCTGTGCCATACGTATGTTCTGGCTCACGTGGTGCACATCTGCTTCAATCCCATACACAGCATGGCCTGAAACTGCTCAGTTCCTTCCAAAATCATGCTGCAATATGCAGGCGATTGCATCTTACTATACTAAATCCACAGCTTTCACATTCAAGTCTGGTTAATGTCTAAGCCTAGCATAGGCCCTGGGAAACACACTATAAAAAGTTCTAAGTAGCCTTTTATAACACTATGTAGAAATCCCAGACAAACAAACCAAAGCCCCAGTGCTTGCGAGGAGAAACCCTCCCTTCCAGCCTACCTTATAGTGTGACACCCTTTGAGTCTCAAATTGCAGCACTGCCTTGCAAACCTTACAGAAAGTGTCGGTGAAAAGGTCTTTCCTTCTTGCTTCATCTAAAATGTCATCTAAACGGAAAGAGCAAAAGACAAAAACCAGCCAGTAGTTAGGACAAGATATATTTGCATGTCTTTGCTTAAACAAAATATCAACCACTTGAATATTCACACACAGCACAAGATGAAGAAACCAATGTTCATCCACTGAATCACACCATGCCTCATTGTGGCTTCAAAGCCATGTGAAAAGCCACCTAAACCTTCCTACTTACAGCGGTATTGCTCTCATGGACTTAAAAGTATTACTATAATAGTACCTAAACTTTAAAGACAAAGAAGACAGAGACTCTTCATTGGGTTTTCAGTCCATTTCAAATAAAGCACAATGTCCAAAATACTTGATTAATGGCTAAAAAGAAGGATTTTAACTGGACTAGGTCATACAGTTAGTTAAATAAGGGAATACTCCTTAAAGAAGAGGTTTAAAGAAAGTCTGGAAACAGCTCTGTAAATCACAAAAGCTTCTGAGACCTCCTGGCCTACAGGTTGTACCTGTGCCCCATATGCCAATTTAACTGATTTAGTCATATGGAGGAAAACTGCTCCAATGGCTTGTTTTGATTTTCTTTACCCCGTTCCCAGTTAACTCATGGCCTGTATACACTTCAACTCACATTAAAATTGGCCCAGGCTTGAAACTATTTCTGAATAATTGCATGTGCAGGCACATTTGATCAGAGGGGGGGACACTCTAACAAGCACTTAAAAGTAATGCCAACATCATGCAAACTAAGAGAGTTAAAAACACTCTTCAATCAAACATAGCTGTGCTGGGAAAACCCTGACGAAGATAAAGCTACATCACCAGCCCAGTTCTTTCTCCTATTAATACACTGTAATTCATTAGGGAAACCAGTTTAACTCATATTGCTTGAAAGTGTTCCCTGGTAAAGGCTATGTTTTCAGGGAGCAGGTTTACCTATGCTATTCTACCAGCAAATCATCTGTGCTGAGAAACTACCTGTTTCTTTTTGTCTCCAGTGGGTCTCGCTTTAATTCCAATAAAGCTAGAATTTTACTTTTTGGCATGCCCTGCTCCTAAATATAAGCTCAAGTTAAACCAGTTTAAAGCAAAAATAAAAGAAGCAACATAACTACACAGTGACACTGAACCGTGATCTTCAAATAAAGCTGAAGTTAAAGGGAAAAAAGTATTGTGATGTCTTAACTGAGCTTACTCCCTGTAAGTTCACCCAACAGTCAGTCCATCCTGGAAGCCACATGTGGAGTGGGTGGCTTTCTGTGCTTTGCACAACACCTGGAGAGATTGTGGGCAGGGAAAGCATCACTCCCTGCGGTCCTAAAGCTCAGTGCCAAAAGGCATCTAGAAATCATGAAGGCAATCACCCTTCACCCTTATTTCTAAGGACTGTTCTCTTGGCCTGTTACCAAAGGAAAGTCAAATCCAAAGGAACATGAAAAAACAGAATGAAATACTGTGTAGTGTGTCCTGTAGCTGTAAATAACACTACTAAGATGTGGGATGATTAAGGAAGGACTAGAGTCCCCCTGGACAACACACGACTGCCATCTTTGCGCAAGCAAAAAGCCCCTTAAAAACAGAGCTGTATATTTCAGTATAAACTGTATGACATGTATTTTAACTCAGCCAGTACCACCCCAGGAATGTGGCTCCAGCAAAAGCCTGAAACAAGGAATGCCAAACTGCTTTGACACGGCAACATTAACGTGTGCGACCAGCTGGAAACCCATGGGCAGCTCTATGGGTGCTGACAAAACCTGAGGAATGGCAGATGCAGAGATTCTTCTCAGACTGTGTGTGTGTTTAACCCCACTTTGCATTCCCAAAGCTGCACTCCTGAATTGTTTAACATACAGATCTTAATTAAAGCTGGCTCTAATGAGGGTTTTGGCTGAGATTGCAACAACAATTGGGTATCAAGATGCTACTGTCTGGCATGGTTTACCATCAGTCCCTGATACAAGAATTAATTTTCTAATAAAGACTTCATGTCCATAAGGTAAATGGCCAGATGACTAATCCTTTAGAACTTTGCTATTCTGTAGTATAAGTCATATAGAAATCTTCAATATTTTACAGTTACTGATTCACATAGCTTCACCCCACAATAAATAACTTGAATCCACACAAGAAAATCCAATAACTTGGTTCTGGGCATTAGCTCAAAGCCCATCTTGCACCTGAGACACATGAATTGCCAATGTTTGTAGCAGAAAAAGCCACTTATGGAGGAAAATTACACCAGTTTGCTCATGTGTATGGAACTGTAAAAACATAGCTACCTAGAGAAAGATAAATGGAACATATTCTTTATTAAAAAACAATAAAAAGCAAATTGCAATGCAACCAGGCACAAATCTATGAAATACTACTACCACAGGCAGTATTCACTATATTTCAATTTGCATAACCTCTCACTGGAAAACAGATCTTGGTTTCAAAGACAGACTTCTTTATATTAGTTAAGGACAGTATTCTATGCATATTTTCCTTGATTTAACAGTGAACTGCACAGCATCCTTCACAGATAAACCCAAACAAAGTACATGCTACAAAAAAAAAAAACCCTAAAAAACATTTTCATGTGAAATTAAAATTGGGTTTTTAATTCACTATCTTGGTGGCACACTGCAATGAAGAGTGGATTATAGGTACCAGAAGTCTGGTTGTCCAAGTAACTCCTATTGTATGTCTTCAAGCCATCCTGAACCCCGCTGTGTCCTTGTCCTCAATGGCATTTTGCAGTAACTGATAAAATGCACTAATATATATTCCAGGGACAGTTTTAATATTGCTCTTCATTGTTTCAAGAGTTGTTTTCATTCTTCAGTATCGTATAAATGTTGACAGGACTTATTCAGATTCTTTCTTCTTTGTAAATTTATCACATCTTAGATCTCTTTTCTATTTATACTATTGTTTTCTATTTCTCATTAAGTTTTTCAATTTTTCACCTAACACTGTTGTCCTTCTGTTTTGGCTCTATCTTTTCTCAAGATAAGGTTATGCTTCTCCAGCGGAGTCAGCAGTGAGGAATGCAGAGCTACCTCAGTCTTACACTATAGCACTGTAGGCCCAACAATTGGTTTCCCCCGAGAGAAAGATATCTACTGAAATAAAGGCACAGTTCACAACATTTGCCTTGATTGTGGAACCTGAAGAACAGCTCTACTCAGCTTTTCTGCATGGTCACAAGATGACTATTAACACGTATCACATGAAACAGGCAGGGTACCCAGACAATAACTTGGCTGGGGAATACAAACCATGAGTGTGGCAACATAACCTGTTCTAATGCAGCTCTTGGCATCCACCTGCTATTATATTAGCAATAGCCTGGGAGCTCAGTTCCGGCTTTGTCAGTACCACACAGCGAAGCACAGCATAACCCTGTCTGCTTTCCTTAGCCCAAACAAGGACAGAACATCCTCATCCACAGAAAGCATACAGCAGCTGCTACCCAAGCTGGTCAAAAGCACAGCTATCTTCTGAAAATACCGGGTAGCCACTTTTAAGAACCCATATCTGATAATTTCAGCCTCAAACCACATGAAAACCCATACATATAAACATAGCCTTTTTATTTTCTGTATAGTTACTGGATGTTTAGGCAAATATATGTGCCTTGGATAACTTATTTCTACATGGTCTTCTGGCGAACTGCGTAAAATCAAATTCAGGAATAAACTGATGTGACTCTCACTCAAATCCCAACTGGGCAGTAAGTTGTAAATGGTCTTCAGCCCAGCCTGGGCAACTGCAGACTCCTTCCCAATGGCAACCACACACATCGACAGCCCTCTTTGCTAAATGACACATCTCTGCTTGCTTCCAGAGAAGGGTCATGAACACGTCTGCCCTTTCTCCTTTTAGCTATGACTCAAGACCATTTGCAACACACAAAGACCACAGAGCACGGGGAGATCTATGCTACTGCTGTTTGTATCTAACCAGTTCTATTAAGTTCTAAATATTAAGCTGAACTTGAGATCTTCAGCTTTCAGATTCACAAGACATCTCTCCTGGCAACCAAGAAAAAAGTTTTTAAAAAATAGCTTACCTTATAGTTTGCAACCATGACATCAGAAACTTTTCAGAGAATGAATCAAAAGCCTTGCAGAACTGCCATATTGACCCCGTCATTTTTATGCCTCCAAAATGTTTAAATAAAGGTACTGGTATCATGAATTTGGAGCAACTGTTCGGATCAACTTTCTGTCATTAAGAAATGGTTCACTGCAGAACAGACCACCTGCTGCTTGTCACAAAGACACTGCTCCTTAATAAAAGGATATATTTTAAAAACATTTTTATCCATAAGACATGAGATTATTTTTTCCCACATTCATGTCACAGGATGAAATCAATCAGTAATTTTCAGTGAAGCTTTTCCTTTATTTTTAGGCTATTCCACAAAAAGAACTGTTTATGTTTGTCAACAGCCAATATTTTGGAGGCAAAAATAGGTCTTTGGACTATGTGTACTGTAGACATTAATCCAGCCCTTGCCTCCTATTTACTAATGACCCAATGGCAGTTGTTTTCTCCTGTGATTCTTAGTAGTTTTTATGGTCTGTTATTGAGACAGCTTTCCCAGCTATGTTATGAAACCTACGATACTTGGTACTGCCACAGACATGCTCTGAGATCTCATGTTTTGTGAGGTCCACTGACACCCTAAGAAAAGACATACTATAGCTTAAACGCCAGCATACATTTAATTGGTATAATTATCTGACTGACATCTTCTGAGAGCCTTCAGAAGACACAGAAGTAAATGCTTCATATGAAGTTAAATTAAAAGCAGTCTGACGTAATAGTGAATAACATCAGTGAGTGAAGAGGGAGAACATCAAGCACCACCTGAATATCCAGGTGATATCCAATATACTTACATTCTTGCTCATTCATTTAGCATTTATAAAAATATTTCTCCAGAGGTGTGTTTTCTACAATTATTTTTTTTAATGTAGAGAATAAACCCAGGCTAAATCGCCAAAGAATGAGGAGCACAATCAAAAGGCAATGAGGGACACATTCTTAAAACAAGATCAACTTTCACTGAATTTTTTTAGAGTTGGAAGGGACCATAGAGATCATCTAGTCCAACTCCCCTGCTGAAGCAGGATTGCCTAGAGCTAGAGCATGTTACTCAGGACTGCATCCAGGCGGGTCTTGAAAATCTCCAAAGAAGGGGACTCCACAACCTCCCTGGGCAGCCTGTTCCAGGGTTCTGTCACCCTCACGGTGAAGAAGTTTCTCCTCATATTTGAGTGGAACCTCTTATGTTCCAACTTGTGCCTGTTGCCCCTCGTCCTCTCACTGGAAACCACTGAAAAGAGTCTGGCTCCCTCCTCCTTCAACCCTCCCTTGAGATACTTGTAGGCGTTGATAAGGTCTCCCCTCAGCCTTCTCTTCTCCAGACTAAAGAGTCCCAGCTCTCTCAGTCTCTCCTCATAAGGGAGATGCTCCAATCCTTGAATCATCTTTGTTGCCCTTCACTGGACTCTTTCTAGTAGTTCCCTGTCCCTCTTGAACTGGGGAGCCCAGAACTGGACGCAGTACTCCAGTTGTGGCCTCACCAGTGCAGAGTAGAGGGGGAGAATGACTTCCCTTGACCTGCTGGCCACACTCTTCCCTATACAACCCAAGATACCATTGGCCTTCCTGGCCGCAAGAGCACACTGTTTACTCATTGTCATTTTACTGTCCACCAGGACCCCTAGATCTTTCTCTTCAGTAGTTGCCTCTAGTAGGTCCACCCCTAACCTGTACTGGTACCTGACATTTTTCTTCCCCAGGTGCAGGACCCTACACTTTTCCCTGTTGAACCTCATTAGGTTCTTCCTTGCCCAGCCCTCCAGCCTGTCCAAGTCTTGATTGTTTTAATGTTCGAACACTGAAATATGGGCATTGAAAAGACAGCGCAAACTGCAGGTGCTTGGCACCTCTCTTAACAAGAAAACCAAAGCAATTTAAATAAATTTCTTTAAAAAAATCAAAATAACAGAGGTGTATTTGGGAAATCTGGAACCAAACAGGTTGCCTAAAATAATAAATCAGACTCTTATAGTGTCTGCATTGAAAGATAATGATTTGCTTACTATTTTCAATTCTCAGTTATGATCCTAGAATCATACCCGGCATTTATTTTTTTCATATTCTTGAATGAAACAGCAATTCAGTTAAAGCATTAAAGCACTGACGTGAGAAGGCTCAGGGGCATTTTAACATTATTGTACTTGTATATTTTACTGCTTGAGAGTTCGAGAATGTCTTTTCAACTTTAAACCTTTGCTATCTCTTTTCTCACTTTTATTGGGTTAATTGTAGAGGAATCTTTGTGGCAAGCCAGGTAGGAAAGGCAGGAGAAAAAAGGCTTTCCTCAGGGCAGTATAAATGTGGTATGAAAAATACTAACGTTAATTAAAATATCAGAGACCAGGTAATTTTAAAAATGCCTGTTCAGCCCAGGACTTTATACCACTTTATTAAAAAGGAAATGCTCCAAGCTTTAGTCTATTATTAATTTTTCTTTCCCGATTCTTGAGGCTGGAGAAGACAGAAAGCAGAATAATGTAGTAAAGAAAAAGTCTAGGCTAGACAAATCCCTTAAGGCAAAGGTATAAAGTTTCAAGTTCAAGGTACTAAACCCACAAAATGACACAGCTAAATTTGGCCCTCAAACGCCAGCAGCAAACATAGCATTTTAATGAGAAATAGACGGATATACATGAACCAAGTTCATCAACTGCAAGTCGTCAAGAGCAAATATTGACCCACGTATTTTCTTATTTTCACATGGCTGTCTCCAAGGCACATCCACACAAGCAATGGGGTCAGTGCATCTCACCAGGCTACCACCTGTCAGCCTCCCAGGAGCTGAGTGTGCATGCTGAAGCCTGTCCCAGCTGCAAAGTAAAACAGGTTAATTTACATCACGTGCCCTACATTAACTTGCTTTACTCTGCAAGCAAGAAAGGCAGGAGCTTACGAAGAGTTATCTCAGCTGACTGGCTGTAACTTTACATGATATCCAAACTCTACTGCTTGTAATCAAAATATTCCCACTCTGTAACAAGACCAAAGATGACCAAAAGCTTGAATGTTTAGAGTATCAGCTGTCTGAAACCGCATGCAAACATCATCACTGAAATCCAGTCAAACTTTTGGTTGTGGTACAGCATGGTCACTGTACAGTGGGAGACAGAAAGCAATCTTAGAAATAAACTCAAATATCCACAGATATTCAACTTAGAAAGGGCAGGCAAAGATAACAAACTTTAAAATCCTTATCAAACACACTGAAATGCAGTATTAAAGCACTGTATTCCTATACTAGGGAGGTTCAACCAGACAGATTTCGATTTCTGCAGTTAGGTGAAAGGTGTTTCTCCACGGAAAAAATACTGTAGTAGCACTAAATTTTCATTTTGTCAGCGAGTTTAGTCCCTGAGTATGCTTTTGAATGATTTTGTTTTGTTTTGAAAGCTTAGGTGATTGTAAAAAAAAAATGAAATGCCAAACTGGACTCTGCTGTTTGGAAACGAATGTGGTTAATGCTTGCATATTTCCATAAACTAGTTCATCATGCAAGATCTGTGATCTGCCTTGGCACATAACAGAAGCAGCTTGCAATTGATGCGAAACACAACGCTCCCCCTTTTGCCCAGTGTGAGCAAGTAGCCAGACACTTTGCCTGCTCTCTTGGTGCTCTGAACTCATCCAGGACACAGAAAATATTTTAAAGCATTAAGACAGAAGTACCATGTATCAATCACTACTAATAAAATTCAGGTGTGTGCTTCTTGCAACACAGTTCCTTGATTCTCTTCATTTTTCTCCCTGTTGGTCTAAACCCTCCTGTTTCCCCTTCTCTGTCTCTGCTGAACATCACACTGACCTCTGCAGCCAACTGTCATGGTTTAACCCTCCTTGAGTCTTATAAACACGTAAGAAATACACCTTCCAATCCCCACTTGGCACTCTCTGAGGCAGGTTAAGGCAAGTTACTTACCCTTCTGCCTGGCTTGCTTTGACATAAAAATGCTCCCATACAATTGTATGATTGTAGTTTGTGCAATGTTATTTTTTCAGCTTACTCACAGTACTATTTAAGACGAGCTTGTGGAATGCTGGGTGAGAAGCATATAATCAGTGAATTGGTACCTGACTTTTTTTTTTTTTTTACTTCTCCAGTAAGTGAAGAAGGTGTGTAGAATAGAAAAGGAGGAAGAGGGGAAAATCAGCCATTTATAACATAAGAGCACTATATACTGAATCTTGAAAAAAGATGCACGGTTGTAACTACAGATTAACTACTCTCTTACAGGTACCATGGGATTTTATTTTGTTGACACTCAGACAAAAGAAACCCTTAGACTAAAACAAACAAACCAAAAATCCAATGTGTGTGTGTGGGCGCACGTGAAGGAATTAGCAAAAACTGCTGCCACAGACTTTCCAAAGCCAAAAGTTACTGCTAATTTTGTATTTTCTGTAAGAAAAGTATACCCTCCCTCCTCAACAGGCTGTTAAACCAGAAATTACCCATAATATCCCATGCCGCAGCTCTATTTGGCACTGGTATGAACTGACAAACATAACCAGCAATCCTTGCTGTGTCTGGGTCACGATAAAACCTGTACTGGCTGTGCACTAAAATAAGGGTGTGAGCTACCTCTAAACACTGAGAATTTAAGAAACAACCTTCAGACCCTTAAACTCCCTTGAAATTCTCAGGAGGTCAGAGTACTTTTAAAGTTAAAGTTGCACCAAAGCACATTTTGGAGTTCAGGAACATGACAACTCAGTTCAAGAAATAAGTGTGAAAAATGGAATTTAAACCTAAACATAGCAACACCGCATTCCTAACTTTCCCCTAATATATTCTTTTGAAGAGCATAGATAGTTGTTTTTTCTTCCTTAAAATAGCTGCCAGCTTTTTAAACACATTCATTCCACCAGTTATTTCTGTTCAAGAGCACTACTAAATTTAACTGACAATGGGGAAATCTGCTGTTAACGGATATTTTCCACATTTAAAGAAAGTCCATGTTTATGCATTGCTAAGTTTGTGGCTTTGTTTGGTTTTTAGCTTGATTTTCATTATACAGTTAATGTTTATAAACCACTGACCAAAGCCTTTAAACATGCAAGTATTTTATACACATTATACAAACAACTTGGCATTGCTGAAAGCTCAACACTTATTTTTGGGGTGCTATTTGCTAGATTTCAGGAGGGATTACCCAGGAAGGAGAGGGCATGGAAAGCTCCCATCACTTCTCAGCCACAATCTTAAGATTCAGTTCCAGGCCTGAACATCACAGGTCAGGTGTATAAAAGTAACCTGTTTGCCACCTCACTGTTCCACAAGCATGAGATTAGTTTATGAAGACAGAGCAAGGCCTCTTTGCACTGAAGAATTAAGCAGAAGCCTGCCTTTTACAAACTGCGTATCGAGCAGCTTGGACCTATTGCAGATACCCTGCCTGCTCCTTCCACACACACAACACAGACAGGACTTGCGCTGCATTTCACTTCTCATTATTTCTGCCTTTTACCAGCAAAGCCCCATCACTTTTCAGTACCAGCACCATGAGAATGAACTTTATTTCACAGAGGGAACCGCTCTACCTCTGTTCGCCGCCTCTCCTCCCCTCACGGCCCCGCCCAGGCCGGGCCGGGCCCCACTCACCTTCGCGGCGGCGGGCGGTGAGAGGGGGCGGTGGGGCTGCTTTCCCGCCCCGCTCCGCCGCCATGGCCCCAGCGCTGCCGGCAGGGAGGAGCCACCGCCTCTGAAGCCCTTTGAGGGCAGGGGACAGCCGGCGGGGCCTTTAGGGCCGGGACAGTTAACGGGATTCCGGCCGCCGCCTCCTCTCCCGTAACGAGCTCCTCCTGCGGGCGGCCTTCACCTCACTGCCCCCTCGGGCCCAGCGCCCGGCCCGGCCCGGCCCGGCCCGGCCATCCGCGGGCCTCCCCCTCAGCGGCCCACAGCCCTGACTGACTAGGGACTAGTAACTGACTAGTAACGGCTAGTAGCTGCCTCATAACTGCACAACAGCTACTACTAACTACCAGTAACCGCCTGGTATCTGCCTCCCAACTACTAGTAACTGCCTCAGAAATACTGGTACCTCATAACAGCCCAGAAACTACTAGTGAGAGCCTAGTGACTGCCTAATAACTGCTCAATAACTACTAGTAACAGCTTAGCGTCTGCCTGGTGACTACTAGTGACCGCCTGGTGTCTACTAGTTACTACCGAATACCTGCCTAGCAACTACAAGTAACTGCAGGCCTTTCCCCTCACCTTGGCTGGCTCCTCTCTGCCCCAGCACCAAAAACACCCCCAAAAATCCCCCAAATGGCCACGCATCCACCAGCTGTCCTTCCCCTCCATCACCCCATTGATCTGACCTTCTCCAGGGCTGAATTCCCCCCAGCCCCTGTTGCACTCACCCCCAAGAGAACAGGCAGTCGAATTTCCCCCAAATTTTCCCCACTGTCACCCCAAAAACTGGTTTCATTGGGATCCAGGGCCGATCCTTGCCCTGCAGGATTGTGATTACATTTAACATTTAAAGCTGAATTATAATGACAGGATGAGTCTGAGGAGCACCTGCCTAGGACAGGTTTTTTCTTCCTCCTTTTTTTTTTTCCCCTCTCTAATGCACAGTTTGTCTGAGCACTGCTCACCACAGTCCAGAGCAGCAGCGGTTAAATTTGGTAACGTTGTGCTTTAGATAATTTTTTATAGAGCAGTAGAGGGTGCTGTTTGTTCTCCTGTCGAGGATGGGGCCACTCACCCCTCCAGCCCAATATCCAGACAGACCCAGAGCGCAGAATAACCTGCTCTTGAAGGGTCAGCCTTGCTCAGTGCTCCGAAATTGTCATGCCTCTCTGGCTGGCTTTGCAATTCAATGTGTTTCCAAGGGGTTGAAAGTAGGGTCGCTTCTCCAAATAGATCCTTAAGAGGGAATCCCTGTTATCAAGCCTCTCTTGGTCCTTTCCAACTTTCTCCGTGCTTTCTCTTCAGATTGACAGTTTTACCATCATATTTTTGCACACACTTGGGTCTGAAACCATGCCCAGGTGGTACCAAAGGTGTGATGCTCAGCCAGATGGGTGATCTCCTCCTGTACAGCCCAGCTGAGCACACACCACTGTGGCATTCACCAGGCTGGAAGGGACAAATGAGACTTTTGTTACACTCTGTCTCAGCCAAACTGTTTTGTTTTCTTTTTCCTTTGTGATCTGATGGTGTGAAGGGCACATTGTACTGGGTGCACCACAGATGTCTTACTGTGCAGAGACCTGCTCTGTTGTAACTCCATCCTAGAAAGACTTTGATCTGTTGATTTTAGTTGTCTACTTTGAAAACATATAATTATATTCTTTGTTAAATTTACTCTCTGTTATTCAATTCAATTCAATTCAATTCTAGTCTAGTCTAGTCTAGTCTAATCCATTCCATTCCATTCCATTCCATTCCATACTCTTTGTTATCTGGGAATTAGAAAGAGCGTTCAGTGTGATTAATGACTGACTTCAGTATAGCCACACTCCAATCAGAGGTTTGTTTTTTTTTTGAAAAAAAAAAAACAACCTAATTTTTAGGTGCTAAAGTACTGCCGGCAAATATATGTATCTGAAAGGCATTACATGCAGGGGAATTCAACATAGGTAACAGGTGAGATGACAGCATCCTGACATCACATATCACACCACACAAGTGGAGCATTGCAATTAAAATTGTAATTGCTTGTAGTGGCTAGTTTGTAGTGACTTTTCTGTGCTGCTCAGCGTAAATGCTGGGAGGTTTGCGCTGATGGCTCTGTGATGGCTCTGGCCCTTCTCAGTAAGAGTGGAGGAGGCTGGTTGTTTGGAGAAGATTGCTCATAATCACATGAACACGCAGATCACCCTGAATTTATGGAGTTGTGGATTGATATTGTTTGTGCTTGGCACACAGGGGTAAACTATAACACAGGAGATTTCTGCTGAAGCGTGCTACGATTCTTCATTTGCAGGCAAGGAAAATTGCCAGAAGCTTTTAAGCAGAAGATGCTGAGCAGTTCTGTGGCTGTCTTAAAGAGCACAATGATACTTCCCTCTGCCTTGGCAAGGTAAAACGTTTCTTTTACAGCCTAGGGATGAACAGGAATTACCCTCTTTACTTCTCTACACCTCGCTTTCCCTGTTAAACCTGACAGGTTTTTCTGTGCAGCAAGGAGGTGTGGGAAGAGGTTTGCAAACATTGGTATCTGTGCAGTGGTTAGGGATCCAGGAGGAAATACCATCAGATTTCCTAGGGGTGGGAGGGTAATATTAGCAGGAACCCCGCAAAATAGTATTAAATTATAAAAAAGTGCTGAAGAACGATATGGGCTGGGTTCAATTTCCACAGCGAGGTTCACTCTTATACATGGAGGCCTTTCCTTGCATCACCCCAAACCTGTACTGGCTGCTGGGGGCAGAGAGTAAAGCAAGGGCTTGGCTTCTCATGGGTTTGGTCTGTCTGGTGTACCTTCCTTTTCCACTCAGGTGACTCAAATTCCCCCGTCTCTTCAGTGGCTTAGCATTGGAGGTGGGAAAAGCTCTCAAATGCAGTGCCATTTCAAAGAGGTTTAGTGCATCTAAAATTGTGTGCATATCTAAGATGTCCTGTTCGCTTCCGCAGCCCGTGCCAAACCACTGCTGCCCTTCCAGCTCCTTCTACACTGCTGTGTGTGCCCGCTGCCACCAGCATTTGGGAAGTGACACCCCTTTTCCAGGCTCCGGTGGCCACAGAGGATGCCGAGAATTTCGGAGTGTGTATTTCGCTGTTATCCCTGCCTCTAAACACACCATCCATCTCCTAGAAGGTAAAAATAAAGCAGCATTGTTTAATTTCTGGAAAAAGCCAGATGGCAGTGGAAGGGGTCAGAAATATGCACGCCAGCCCTCCCTGTCCCACTGTCTCAGCTGTTGCTTACTGAGAGACAGAAGCATGTGGTTGCTAAAAATAACCTGCAAAGAGAATACATTCCCTCTCCAATGGGAGAGTATAAATTAATCCAAATTGTAACATATACAACTGCTTGTGGCTGGGAGAAACAATTCCAAACGCGGCTTTTGGAGGGGGGTTTCCTAATGAAGCAGAAGCACAGACCTGCGTAGGTCAGTGATATTGCGCAGAGGATCATTGCCTCCTGCCTCTCCTGCTCCCACCCCCTCACCCTCCTATGGGAAACGCTGTGGCTGGGGGTGGGGGGGAGGCCAGCCCTTTTATAAGCGTGGTCTTGCAGCAAGTCGAAGTTGACAGGAGTGACGGGAGATTTGGCTGGCTCTGAGATACCCACCTCCCAAGCCTTGGGGTCCCTGGGATGACCAAAGGGGGAATGGAGTCAGTCGAAGTGTTCACCTCTGAAGGCAAAGGCAGGGGCTTGAAAGCACAGAAGGAATTCTTGCCCGGGGATGTCATCTTTGCGGAGCCAGCCTACGCTGCCGTGGTTTTTGATAGGTAAGAGAAAAGAACTTGTAGAACACAGGCTGAAAGTCATCTCAATGCAAAATTTCATTTGGCCGGGCGGGTGAAAATTTGAAAGCATCTGGACAGCATCAAAGAAGGGTGTGAAGGGAAGTCAGAAGCACTTCTGTAAAGACACATTCACAGCCTACAGTGAATGTGTCTCCCAGGGCTCAGATCAGCTTTTTTACTTTTTTAATACGGAGCGAACGTTTCTAGGATCTTTAAGGTGCTTGGTGCTCTTAGCTTTTAGCAAATGTGGTGGAAGTTGTGTGCATTCAGGGTGTAATTTAGGTACAGCAGTCTCAGACTGGCTTTTGCAGAAGCCTCTGATGTGCAATGCGTGATAAAAGAGAGTTAAGTTGTGCTCTGCTCACGTGTACCACCTCCCAGCTGTACACGCCACTTCATTACCCGCTGCCTTCAAACTAAAAGCTGGTGGGGATCTGCAAGTGATATTGTTTCTATTAAAGTGATTTTATATTTGTAGCTAGCTGAGTTAACTGGAGACAAGTTTCTGCTTTCACTCTTGGCACGAGACTGGTTTTAAGTTTTTGTTCACACTGATGCAGCCAGAAACTGAATTCTGGCCCAAAGGTGTTTTCTTTTCTGCTGCTTGTTTCAAGGACAAACAACATGCAATCAGCCTGTACTGCCAGAGTGGCTGGTAGGTGCCCATTCCTGCCCTTCAAATCAGTGGAAGATTCACTTAAATACCCTGAAAGCCAAAAGGCATAAAGAACCAATTTCTATGTTAATCTCCCATGAAATAAATCTAGAATAAAGCCCCAGACATGAATGGAATTTGTGCAGCCTTATAATACGCTGAGAACAGAATTTGGCTCAAAGTTTTAAACTGAGGAGCTAGCTGTCAGATGAAGGTTTCATTCTGGGCTTAGGAAATTTGTGAGCATTCTTCAAGGGTGGCATGGGGACTCCCAAAACTGATATTTTTGCCCCATACCGCCAGTAATTTTAGTGAATGTTCTGCACACTAAATAGGGCAGTGAATGATTTTGCCTAGCTGAGCTTTCCCTGATTGAATAAACTCTGCTAATGAGGCCTGGGACGCAAGCAGAGCTCATGCTGCTGTTTTAATCCTGGTCATCTTGTAGCTGGAGCTGATTTGTGCTACTCTGTGATTTGGCAGTAGCAGAGAGTTGGGGATTAAATGGACAGAGCAGGAAATAAGGTTTTTTGTGTCTTTCATTCACTTTTTCCTTGCCCTTATACTGTCAGTGGGTGAACATGTTTATGAATCT